TTTGTTCATTTCTTTTTATTCTTTTTTCTCTAAACTTCTCTTCTCACTTCATTTCATTCATTTGATCTTCAATCACTGATACCCTTTCTTCCAGTTGATCGAGTCAATTACTGAAGCTTGTGCATTTGTCACGTAGTTCTCGTGTCATGGTTTTCATCTCTATCAGGTCGTTTGTGGACTTCTCTGCATTGGTTATTCTAGTTATCCATTTGTCAAATCTTTTTTCAAGGTTTTTAGTTTCTTTGTGCTGGGTTCATAGTTCCTCATTTAGCTCTGAGAAGTTTGATCGTCTGAAGCCTTCATCTCTCAACTTGTCAAAGTCAATCTCCGTCCAGCTTTGTTCCGTTACTGGCAAGTAGCTGTGTTCCTTTGGAGGGGGAGAGGCGCTCTGATTTTTTGAATTTTCAGCTTTTCTGCACTGCTTTTTCCCCATCTTTGTGGTTTTATCTACCTTTGGTCTTTGATGATGGTGATGTACAGATGGGGTTTTGGTGTGGATGTCCTTTCTGTCTGTTAGTTTTCCCTCTAACAGTCAGGACCCTCAGCTGCAGGTCTGTTGGAGTTTGCTTGAGGTCCACTTCAGACCCTGTTTGCCTAGGTATCAGCAGCGGAGGCTGCAGAAGAGTGAATATTGCTGAACAGCAAGTGTTGCTGTCTGATTGTTCCTCTGGATGCTTCGTCTCAGAGGTATACCCAGCCGTGTGAGGTGTTAGGTGTCAGTCTGCCCCTAGTTGGGGGTGTCTCCCAGTTAGGCTACTTGGGGGTCAGGGACCCACTTGAGCAAGCAGTCTGTCCGTTCTCAGATCTCAAACTCCACGCAGGGAGAATCACTACTCTCTTCAAAACTGTCAGACAGGGACATTTACATCTGCAGAAGTTTCTGCTGCTTTTTGTTTAGCTATGCCCTGAACCCAGAGGTGGAGTCTACAGAGGCAGGAAGGCCTCCTTGAGCTGTGGTGGGCTCCACCCAGTTCGAGCTTCCACGCCCCTTTGTTTACCTACTCAAGCCTCAGCAATGGCGGGCACCCCTCCCCCAGCCTCGCTGCCACCTTGCAGTTAGATCTCAGACTGCTGTGCTAGCAATAAGGGAGGCTCTCTGGGCGTGCGACCCTCACAGCCAGGTGCAGGATACAATCTCCTGGTTTGCCATTTGCTAAGACCCTTGGTAAAGCGCAATATTAGGGTGGGAGTGACCCGATTTTCCAGGTGTTGTGTGTCACAGTTTCCCTTGGCTAGGGAAAGGAATTCCCTTCCCCTTTGTGCTTCCCGGGTGAGGCGATGTCTCGCCCTGCTTCTGCTCTCACTCATTGGGCTGCACCCACTGTCCTGTACTGACTGTTCAACATGCCCCAGTGAGATGAACCTGGTACCTCAGTTGAAAATGCAGAAATCACCTGTCTTCAGTGTCACTCATGCTGGGAGCCGAAGGCTGGAGCTGTTCCTATTTGGCCATCTTGGCACCCAATCCCAATTTTTTTGTATTTTTAGTAGAGAAGGGGTTTCACCATGTTGACCAGGTTGGTGTCAAACTCCCATCCTCAAGTGATCCACCCGCCTCAACCTCCCAAAGTGCTAGGATTACAAGCATGAGCCACCGTGCCCAGCCATAGCTTAGTCTCTTCACAAACTTTTTTGAAGTAACAAGTGAGAGTCACATAGAGCTATTCCCTAATTAATGATTAAATAAGTTTTGCTGGACAATCCCAGCACTTTGGGAGGCTGAGGCAGGAAGCAGGCAGATCCCTTGAGGTCAAGAGTTTGAGACCAGCCTGACCAACATGGTAAAACCCCATCTCTACATGGTGGTGCGTGCCTATAGTCCCAGCTATCCAGGCAGCTGAGGCAGGAGAATCACTTGAACCTGGGAGGCAGAGCTTGCAGGGAGCTGAGATTGTGCCACTGCACGCCAGCCTGGGTGACAGAGCAAGACTCCATCTCAAAAAAAAAAACCCAAAAAAAATACACAGAGTTTTACCCTGTATATGGAAAAATGTTGTTTATATTACAGAAAAATGCTTACATAAAATTATTAGGAATAGTCTTCTAACATTTTTCTTACTTGAATTACCGCCTATACCAATTACACTTCAATTGCTGATTTTCAGAGAACTAAGCTGTAATAAATTACATATAACCTTAAAATTAAACTGTCAATTATTTTTTAAAATTCAGGCCAGGCATGGTAGCTCACACCTGTAATCCCAGCACTTTGGGTGGCCAAGCCAGGAGGATAGCTTGAGGTCAGTAGTTCAATACCAGCCTGGGCAACATAGCGAAACCCTGTCTCTACAGAAAATTAAAAAATTAGCCAGGCATGGTGGTGCATTCCTGTAATCCCAGCTTCTTGGGAGGCTGAAGCAGGAGGATCGCTTGAGCCTAGGGGTTCAAGGTTACGGTGAGCCACGATCACACCACTACACTGCAGCCTGGGTGACAGAGTGAAACCCTGTCTCAAAAAAACAAAAACAAACAAAATAATCAGATGGCACTGTATTTCGATCTTGTGGTATGAGGGGGTCATCATTTTTGAAAGCAGTAAGGAAGGAAAGTAATATATGTGAAAGTACTTTGAAAATTATAAAGGTATATAAATATAAGGTTTGGAAATACCAAAAAGTCAGGAACAAGAGAATAATTATTATCCACCTGGTAAATCTAATAGTTGAAAAAGAGGGCTTACAATGTATAAGTATAAAACACCTATGGATATTTCTTCAGTGGTTTGTTTTTATTCAATCACTGTAGCCAATGACACATGTAAACATTCAGGGTCAAGTAAAAATGAAATATGTTAAATGTTGACACTGATGAGGAATATATGAGAAGTAATTATAAAACCTGTATTTCTGAATATAAGTTAATCAATTGACAAAATCAGTTTAGTTTTTCTAAAAGTCGTAACATTAAATACATTACTGATTTTGAACATAACATGGTACATACAATAATTTACATTAATTGATGTGTTTCTTAGTATATATTTATCTACATCAAGAAATTAAGTTTTTTTGGTTGGGCGCAGTGGCTCACTCCTATAATCCCAGCACTTTGGGAGGCCGAGGTAGGTGGATCACTTGAGATCGGGAGTTCAAAACCAGCCTGGCCCACATGGTGAAACTCATCTCTACTAAAAATACAAAAATGAGCTGGATGTGGTGGTGCGCACCTGTAATTCTGGCTACCTGGGAGGCTGAGGCAGGAGAATCACTTGAACCCAGAACATGAAGGTTGTTTAAATCTGTAAAAATGACTGAATCCTGTATAGGAGCACTGAGAAACCAGAGAAATGCTGATGTAATTATTAGAAGAAAGATAAAATAGACACCAAGACCAAAATGAAACCCTAGAACAATGGTGCAGGACAAAAAAATACCACTGGAGAAAGAGGAGAATTATTATTGTGAAGTGAAATAGAACTCACAGGAGTAATCAAGTAGTAGTTCTCCATTTGGAGAATCAGCATGCTCATAACTTAAAGATGATAATGTGTTGTATTTGTAAGCGCTGCATAAAACTGGAATATTGTCTTCATTCTGTGCATTTCTGTCATCCCATCTGAAACAAATACACATTTTAAAGTCATGAGAAGATAGTTTTATAGATATTTAGTTTTTATTATTATGACCATGAAATTTCAGGAACACAGTTTGACAGACTGATCAGACTTCTAAAATCTTTGTTTAGTTACAACCCATGTTTAGTTACGATGCTCTTTAATGAATTTCATTGACTTATTAAGTATTGTTGCTAATTGTGTTTACATCTAAATATATCAGTAAAATAGAATGCCTTAATATTTAATAAATAACATGATCTGCCAGAAAATCATGTTATTCTGAGTATAAATGATTATTTTGACCAGGTATAGTGGCTCACGCCTATAATCACAACACTTTGAGAGGACAGGGCAAGAGGATCACTTAAGCCCAGGAGTTTGAGACTAGCCTGCGCAACATAGTGAGACCTTATCTCTATAAAAAAAATTTAAAAAAAGAAAAAGATTTTCATATAATTGGGCTAACCAAGATATAGGGCTAGAAATAGACTATAGGTTAGATAGGAAGGCTTTGTAAAATACAGAGAATGTATCTAGGGTAAGAAAATAAATGTAAACAAAAGAGCAAAAGTAGAATTACCAGGTAGAGAAGAAAGTGAGGAGTTCAATCAGGCTGGAGAAGTAAATGGGAAAATTAACAATAGTTTGAGATCCAGCAATCCCACTACTGGATATATACCCAAAGGGTATGAAATCAGTATGTCGAAGAGATATCTGCACGCCCGTGTTCATTGCAGTATTATTTCACAATACCCAGGATATGGAATCAACCTATATGTTCATCAACAGATGAGCAGATAAATATAAATGAGGTAAAAGAAAATAAGTATCTTTTTTTTAAAGAGAGGAAAATGGATTGGTTAGATAGGACCAGATAACAGACTGATCTAAAGCTATCATTAGAGACCAGTTTATTGTGTAAAAGACAATATAGATGAATTATTAGAATAATGAATATAAAGATACAAAATTTATGCCCTATTTTTTTTTTTACAAGCCCACAAGTAACATCATTTTTTTTAAGGGTCTCTCTATATTGCCCAGGCTGGAATGTGTGGTGTAATCTTGGCTCGCTGCAACTTCCATGTCCTGGGCTCAAGCGATCTTCCTACCTCAGCTTCCCAAGTAGCTTGGACTAAAGTCACACGCCACCACACCTGGCTAATTTTTCTGTTCTTTTGTAGAGACAGGGTTTCTTCATGTTGCCCAGTCTGGTCTCGAACTCCTAGACTCAAGTGATCCACCCACCTCCGTCTTCCAAAGTGCTGGGATTATAGGCTTGAGCCACCATGTCCAGGCCTAATTTTGTATTAATAGAGTCAACAGCCATGCCATTACATTTCATTTAATATCATCAAAAACAAATATGACACAGGAGCAAGAAAAGAATGATAAAAACTGTACACACGCATTGAAAGTGTGCATGCAGATGATTAATACAGAGCAAAAGTCAGCCAGCTTTTTCTGTAAAGGGCCAGACAGTAAATATTTTCAGCTCTGTGAGCTAGACAGTCTCTGTTGTGACTACTGAACTTGGCTGTTGTAGCTGAAAAGCAGCCACAAACAATACATATGGATGGTGTGGCTATGTTCCAATAAAACTGTACTTAAAACAAGTGGAAAGTCTGGGTTTGGCCCATAGACTTATAGCTTGCTGACCCCTGACGTAAAGAAACACTGTAACTTTTTGCCATTCACAGTCATAACTAAACAAAAAGTTATGTGTTAAATAGTGGTTCACCGCTGGGCGTGATGACTCATGCTTGTAATCTTAACACTTTGAGAGGCCGAGGTGGGAGGAGCACTTGAGGCCAGGAGTTTGAGACCAGCCTGAGCAACATAGGAAGACCCTGTCTCTACAAAAATTTAAAAATTAGATAGGCATGGTGGTGCACCCCTGTGGTCCCAGCTATTTGGGAGTTTGAGGTGGGAGGATGGCTTGGGCCCAGGAGGTCAAGGCTGCAGTGAGCCATGATCACACCACTGCACTCCTGGGTGACAGGTAGTTGTACTAGGCATTGTGCCTGGTGCTTATTAGACATGTTGAGTTATCCAAGAGGTGTTGGAATGTCTGCCTATCTCTGTGTACTCACAAAAATGACTATCTTGGCCGGGCATCGTGGCTCACACCTGTTATCCCAGCACTTTGTGAGGCCAAGGCAGGCGGATCATGAGGTCAGGAGTTTGCGACTAGCCTGGCCAGCATGGTGAAAACCTGTCTCTACTAAAAATACAAGAAATTAGCTGGGCATGGTGGTGCACACCTGTAATCCCAGCTACTTGGGGGGCTGAGGCTGGAGAATTGCTTGAATCTGGGAGGCAGAGGTTGCAGTGAGCTGAGATCGCACCACTGTACTCCAGCCTGGGCAACAGAGCAAGACACTATCTCAAAAAAAAAAAAAAAAAGACTATCTTGTTCTCATTCCTCTTCAATTCTTTCTTTTTCTTCTTTTCTCCCTGACTCCTTTGTAGTTTTATAGTTATTTAAAATCAGGTGGAGCATTTTTATGTTTCAGTGTAAAACCAGAATGATCTCAGCTAAGTTGCTTTTGTTGCTTCTTTTCATATGAAGTTTTTTCCCTATCCTGTGAATCAGCCTTTAATCCAAAAATGACATAAAGAGAAGAGCAAGGACTGAGCCTTAAGTATGCCTAGAATGTTGAGGAGGCTGAGGACAGTGAAGAAGAGATGGACTAACCACCACCGGTAGCTTGGGAACCAGGATAATGTCATAAGACTCAAATGGAGGAATAATACCAAGGGAGATTTAAAAAAAAAACAAAAGCAAAACAACAACAACAACAAAACCTAGTGAATCATATAGAATGCCAAAGAGATTAAGAAAAAAGAAGCAGCCAATTCATTTGTAGAGATTGTTATGAGTATCTTGGGTCAGTTTCAAGATTGGAGGATAAAAATGGGGGCAGGTTAGAAAGGTTTAGGAGCCAGTAAAATGGCTTTCACTTGTACAAATTTAACTACACCTTCTCCATTTAGAGAAAAAAGAAAAAAAGCAGTTAATTTGGTATGTGCCCTTTTTCTCAGTGAACAGTGTCCCAGTGTGAGAGTTAACTTGGAAAATGTAAATCTGTTTCTTTATTTGGGTTCATTTTCCACATGCCTCTCATGGTGTGAGTGTGAGCGCATCATTAAAGATAACGATTATATTTTTTTATTTTAAATGGCCCCTATTACAAGCAATTTGGTCTTTGGTCTTTAGAAAAAAAAAAAAAATGAGGGAAAGAAAATTGTTAAAGTAAAAATAAAATGGCCCCTAAACAAAAGACCACTATTTCATTTATTCTCAGTTGAAGAAATGGCCATCTGTTCAACACTCTATTTTATGCATTATTTATACGTATTATAGAATTTTTGGCACAAAATAAACTGTTCCACACTTTATGGAAGATTTAAAAGATTTTAAAGTATAATTTTAACTCTGCACAGTTTTCCCTTGAGTTTAGATCTCACTTTCTGGCCTTTCTTTCTCACCCCCCATCAAAGATGTGCCTCAACTATATATGGTAAGAAGTGAAAGGAACGTAAGTGGTTGATGGAGAGGAGAGTATGGTAATTAGAGAAAGCAGCAAGGTCAAAGTTATTTGTATTTTTTTTTTTTTTTAAGAAATCTGTGGGTAATATGAAGGAAAATTTGAAGATGCTGGGAAGACAGCTAATAAAGGTGAAATTAGTACTACTCCTAATATGGACAGGATTATTTTTCTGATAAAAGTAGCAAAGGTTTTTAAAGAACTTTTGTAAGCGAAATAAGTTTATTTCCCTCTTCATCTACTGTTGTCCTTTAAAAGGTTTTTATATATTTCTTTGTTTACAGCTTCAGAACTAGCAAAAACACCAAAAAAAAGTGTTTCATTCAGTTTGAAGAATGATCCTGAGATTATGATAAACGTTCCTCAAAGTAGCAAGGGTAAGACATTACATTAGTTCTTTGAAAAGAGTTTTCATAGTTGCTTCAAGATAGAGCATGTTACTTTTTCCCTTGTTTGTGCATTTTTATATATTTTCTTCTTTTCTATTCTGAAAATTCATTCAACAAAATGCAATTAATATTTCAACTCATGTAACTTAGTATACTCATGTTTAGCAGTCAATAAGAGGGAAAAATATCTGTGCTTACTGAAGTTGTGCAAATTGACAGGGCTAACCAGAAATAGTCTTTAAATCCTGTTGTCATTTGCTTGAGTTAGCCAATTATTTATAGAAGATTTGACTTTGGGAAATACTATATGAAATAAGGCGTTTGGAGTTTGGAAGTCTTACAGATTGTGGAGTGGCTATTTTTGAATGATCCCTTCTAACTAGATTAAAAAGTATACATTGTGTTTCTCTTTATTTATATTTTTCTTTTGGTTTTTGAACACCAATGTCACTTGCTGATATTTCTATTTTTTCATATTTTAGAGATGGCATCTCGCTATGTTGCCCAGGCTGAAGTGCATTGGCTATTTACGGGCACAATTAAAGCACACTATTAAAGCCTTGAACTCCTGGGCTCAAGTGATCCTCTAGCCTCAGCCTCTCGTGTAACAGGGCCTATAAGCACCATTGTGTCTGGCTCTATTGTACTTTTTTTTTTTTTTTGAGAAGGAGTCTCACTCTGTCACCTAGGCTGGAGTGTAGTGGTGTGATCTTGGCTCATTGCAGCCTCTGCCTTCCGGGTTCAAGCAATTCTCCTGCCTCATACTCCCGAGTAGCTGGGATTACAGGCACCTGCCACCACACCCAGCTAATTTTTGTATTTTTAGTAGAAATGAGGTTTCACCCTGTAGGTCAGGCTGTTTTCTAACTCCTGACCTCAAGCGATCCTCCTGCCTTGGCCTCCCAAAGTGCTGGGATTATAGGCGTGAGCCACTGCTCCTGGACAGTTGTACCTTTCAATAATCAAAATTTCAAAGGGCTCCATTTTTCTTGTTAGAATGCTACAGAAATGTAGGAAGTAGCTGTTAATAATGTGAGTGATCATGAAATGAATAGTGATAATCCTCCGGTAGAGAGGGAATTAATTTATAATTCAGTAATAATGTGGTGGCCTCTATGTAGAAGCTGCAGCTTTGCTTTTTTTTTTTTTTTTTTAAATTTTTAATTTTTTGAATAGACACAGGATCACGCTATGTTGCCCAGGCTGGTTTTGAACTCCTAGCCTCAAGCAATCTTCCTGCCTTGCCTCCCAAAGTGCTGGGATTACAGGTGTGAGCCACCATGCCTGGAAACTACTTTTGATGAAACTAGACCACAATGAAAAGTAAAGTGTCCGTAGTAAGTCATGGCTTTTTGTTTCATTCTTTAGGCCATTCTGCTTCAGACAAGGTTCAGCCGAAGGTAAGTGATTGACTAAAAAGCAAAAGCCTTAGTGTTACAAAGTAAGACATGATGAAAAATCGTCAGAAATTCGATGAAAAATTATCAGAAATTTAATGAAAAAATTGATGTCTTAATTTATATAGTGCTTTGTAATTTACAGAGATTTGGCAGTTAAATATCTAACTTATAGATGGAGAATTGGAGGTTCAGAGAGGTGAAGTGACTTGTGTGAGTTCAGTTGACTGGAAGGAGAACAGCTAGAAAATGAAGCCAGGCCTCCCAGACCCAACTGTTGTGCTTTTTCTGCTGTGTGTAGCGGGCCTGAAAATTTTGGGGGTTTTGCTTTTATATGTCATGTTCTATTTCATTTGCAGGGGGAAGGGGGCAGTGTTGTGCAGTTTGATCCCAAGATACATTAGATCCATTATTCTATCCTTTTATAATTTACATTTGAAAACTTAGGCTGGCTTAGGCAAATCCATTCCAGAGTAATTAAAAGGAATTGACAATTTTTATCTCCTCCTTTGTGGGGTTTTTTCTTTGTTTGTTTGTTTGTTTTTGAGACGGAGTCCTACTCTGTCACCTAGGCCGGAGTACAGTGGTGGCAATCTCGGCTCACTGAAACCTCCACCTCCCGGGTTCAAGTGATTCTTATGCGTCAGGCTTCTGAGTAGCTGGGATTACAAGTGCAAACCACCACACCCAGCTAATTTTTGTATTTTTAGTAGAGGCAAGGCTTCACCATGTTGGCCAGGCTGGTCTTGAACTCCTGACCTCAAGTGATCCACCACGCCTGGCCTCCTTTGTGTTTTTGTGGTATAATTTTCTCATTACGCCTTTTCGAGTGTTGAGTGTTCCATGAAAGGGCCATATATGCAAAGCATCCCCCAAATGCCAAAGGAGCCAAGAAACCAAAGGAGAAGGCAGACAAGTTTAGTTTGTCAGTAAAGGGTATTTTATTAGAGACAGGAGCATGGTCTTGGGCAGCCACAAGACAGGGTAGCTCTCTTCACTGTTACTCCCCAGAGCCATGGCTTACATAGCATAAGGAAAGGGTATACATGTTCCAGCAAGATAATTAAAGGCAACCCTCTTTAATTGTCAAGACGGCAAGAATGCTATATGCATTGTAGCCAGTAATTTGTGTGATAATATCAAGGTTGACATGTTCTTTCACAGAAGACAGTAAATAAAGTAGGAATCAGGAGGCATTCATGAGTCTGGGGCTAATCAGAAGTTAACATGATGGATTAGCATCCAAGATGGAGTCACTTTTGCCTCCACAGTCAGTATAGAGTACAGTGGTGGCGATCTCAGCTCACTGAAACCTCCACCTCCCAGGTTCAAGTGATTCTTATGCGTCATTTAAGGCCATGCTTATGGCCTGTGCAGGAATGTCCTATTTAGACAAGTCTGTGTATGGGATTAGACATGCCAGAATTTCAATTGTCTTTAATAATGCTTTTTTCCTATATTATGTCTTGTGTGTTGTATCACTATAAAAGGAAAAAAAGCTCATTGCCATAATCCAATCAAGAATTTATTCTTTCTCAAGTTATAGATTATAACCCATTAGTAGATATTGTCAGCTCTCCCAAAAGACCAGAAAAACCTGTTGATGAAACAGAGCTACCTATTACAATAAGAGACAACATCGTTGTGACAGAATCTTAGTGTACTGTCTTAGAAAAGCAAGTTCAAGAGAAAATATGTATAGGGCTTGGGGATCCTGGGCTTAAGTGGCTTAAGGCAGGTTTTTCAAGATGGTAAACTGATTGGTATTGGGCAGAATTGGGGACATGATATTTTAGGATTGGTAGACACAATGAAGATCGTGTCTTAAAGTGTATCTTGATAACTAAACTGTTGATAAGATAAGCTGTTTGCCCTGGGAGTAATCTGTTGTCCTGATAGGAGAACAGTTTGCCCAAATGAGCAAACCGTCAAGAGAGATTAGTTTGCAGAAATTTTCTATAGCAAGTAGGGAAATTATTTATTAGTCTTGTCTTTTTGAGCAGGAATTTTCTGCAATGGTTATTTTGACACTGGTGTTGTGAATTCTCAGACTTAAGCTGTGTATGTATTATATAAGTTATCTCAATACTCAATCATGAAATCAGTTTAATAAGACATAAACTGCATTTTTAACAAATGAAGTAGAACAGAATTTTAAATTTCTGTTTTATAATTTTTTTGGTTTATATATATACATGTACTGGGTCAAGATGACAAAATGTAAAAATTTTTGAGGATCTTGATCAAAAAAGTTTGAGACATACTGTAATTCCATCAGTAAGGGATTAGCTCAGTTATTAGATTACTATTCTTTTTTTTTTTTTTTTTTTTCCTGAGGCAGAGTTTTACTCTGTTGCCCAGGTTGGAGTCCAATGGCATGACCTCGGCTCAACACAACCTCCACCTCCCAGGTTCAAGCAGCTGTCCTGCCTCAGCCTCCCAAGTAGCTGGGATTACAGGTATGCACCAGCATGCCCGGCTAATTTTGTATTTTTAGTAGAGACGGGATTTCTCCATGTTGGTCAGGCTGGTCTCGAACTCCCGACCTCAGGTGATCTGCCCGCCTCTGCCTCCCAAAGTGCTGGGATGAGCCACTGTGCCTGGCCTAGAGTACTGTTCTTAATATCCCAAATCAGATTTTAATGACACCAACAATCTATCACAAGACAATAAACTTAAATTTTTTTTGTCATATTTTCATGTTGATAAAATCACAGGGTACCTTAACTTTTTTATCAATACTGTTAGAAATTTACATGTATATAACAGTGGATATTTTAATGTGCTAACAACTTATGGTAGTAAAGTATTCTATAAAAAAATTCTTTGTACTTCTATAAAAAGTTACAATTTTTTAATTGTAACAGAAATTTTTTTATTTCTGTTAAATTAAAAATTACAATTTTTAAATTTCTTACGGAAAGTAAGAAAGTGTAAATCTCTATTTCTCTCCTTAAAGAATGTAATACTTTAACACCAGTAAATTTCTAGCACATTAAAAGGCCTATTGCCATATACATAGGAGTGCCCATTCCCTTTCATACTTACGATTGCTACATAATACTATCTTTTAAAAAAATACTCTATTGGGCTGGGCACGGTGGCTCATGCCCATAATCCCAGTACTTTGGGAGGCTAATGTGGGCAGTTCACTTGAGTTCAGGAGTTTTGAGACCAGCCTGGCCAATATGGTGAAACCCTGTCTCTGCTAAAAATAAGAAAATTAGTTGGGCGTGGTGACACACGCCTATAATCACAGCTACTTGGGAGTCTGAGGCAGGAGAATGGTTTGAACCCGGGAGGCAGAGGTTGCAGTGAGGTGGAGTGAGCCGAAATCACGCCACTACACTCCAGCTTGGGTGATGCAGCAAGACTCTGTCTCAGAAAAAAGTGTGTGTGTGTGTGTGTGTGTGTATATATATATATGTTCTACTAATCTGATAGGTGAAAGTAGTTCAAAAGGCTGATATACTCATATTTTTTCTGTACATAATAGAAGTACATACATACTTTACAAATAATATAGAATTCAATTTCTAGAATCACTCTAGTAATCCTTTGGAATTTGTTTCTTTTGTTATACCCTTGTTTTGTTCCAAATAATTCATTTGTCATTATCTTCTAGTTCTAGGAAGTAAGCTCATCTAGCTCTAATGCAGTCTATTGAAAGCAAAATATTTTTCTTTTCTAGCCTCTTTCACTCAGATCAGTCATTAACTTCTATGTTATTTAATGCTTTTCCTGTTTTTAAACAGAACAATGACAAAAGTGAATTTCTGTCAACAGCACCTCGTAGTCTAAGAAAAAGATTAATAGGTACGTATTTCTTTTTACATGACATTTTTATAAAAAGCAACATCTAAACAACAGGCAATGGTAGTTAAGTATATAGGTTCTAGACTTAGACTGCTTGGTGTTTTGAATCTTTGGCTTTTAGCTGCAACGCTTAGCACCATGTCTTTCACATTGTAGTCAGTGTATATTGAAGTCAGCTAAAAGGTCTTTCCAAAGAAATAACATGCCTTTTAAGACAGTTTTGAGACAGTTTGGAAATTATTCTATTGATTTATTTGGAAATTTTATAATGCAATAATATTAAATATTCATAGTTGTACTGAATGCTAAACAAAATCAAGTGAACAGACATGGCTCCTGCCTTCTAGGAAATTAAAAATCGTTTCAGATTTTTGAATATTTAACTTTGGGGCAAATGACTGGACCTTTACATATCAGGAAAATGTCAATACCTTTCATAATGCTGATCCTTGACAAGAGTAGTATTAGCCAACATTGTTAAATTCAGCCTAACATCAGGGCTTTATAACTTCATAGCCCTTTCTTTTCAAGGTACGGATTTCATAGAATTGTTAAAACTGTATTTTTAATCACCATAAAATTGGTAATGCTAAATGATTTGGTATATTAAAGCAGTAAAAGGTCTGTATAGTTGTGATTGTTATTTCATGTCAACTATATCCCATGTCTTGTGTTTTCTCCTTATCCCAAAGATGGGTTGTTTTTTAGAGAGAAGGTGAACTTCCCTCTTCCTTCTTAATCACCACAAAACATATATACCTACATGGAGGAAGCATACATGTAAAGAAGGTAGAGACACTTTCTGCTACCTGCCACCACTTCTAAGCTGTGCATATACCATGAGCAGCAGTCAATGCACATTTGAATCTGCTAAGCTATATGTGCTTACAAAATTAAGCCTTTTTTTTTTTTTTTTTAAATATTTACGTTTGTTACATTCTGACTTGGGATAATCCTCTGCAGTATAAAGTTTTTTCACTCATATTTTGGAAGTTAGCTTTTAAAAACAGTTTTATGCCTGTTGATTGTGAAACTGGCTTTATTCTTATTTAATAAGTGTAAAACTAGCTCTATTATTTCTGGGGAGTTGTACGGGTGAGGTTGTGGTTTGTCTAAAAAGATGATTCTTGAATCAACTCTGGGATGGTGTATGTATATGTATTAGTAATAATTATAATCACAAGTACCATTTATTGAGTGCTATATTAGTTAGAATGACATTGTCAATAGGCAGCAACAGAAAATTCTATAATAGTAGTTTAAGCCATAGACATTTAGGTATCTCACATCAAAACAAATATGGAGATGCAAGTTCCATGGTTGATGTGACTCAACAGTGTCATTAAGGACCCAGATTGTTCCTATCTTTTTACTCTGCCACCAGCATTTTTCATCTTTAGGTTTGATACTTCATGTTGCAAAATGGCTTTCATAGCTTTAAACGATGGGTATAAATAGGGGTTTTTCTTACATAATTGATGAAAATCTTTCTCAGAACTGCCGGCTATTTTCCCTCAATTCATTGGTCCAGGGGTCACATAGTCAACCATAGTTGGAGCAGAGGCTGGGAAAGCAGGTACCTAGAAGAAGAAAAATGCAGTTACCATGAATCGTCCCCTAGGATGGGGCACATTGCCGTATTTTGTAAAATTAGAGCTCTGTTAGCAAGGAAGAGGGAAGGAGAACGGTGTTAGGTATGATTAACAATTTCTATCACAGTTCCTGAGTGTCAGGCATTATTAGTGGCTTTATATACATTTCAGTGTAATCTTCCTAATGGTTTATTAAAATTATGTACTGTTAATTTGATAAGTAAACCAGTACTGAGAGAATTTATTAATTAGCTCTGGTGAAATCATGAGCAGGTAATGACAAAACCAGAATTCAGACTCTTACTTCAGAGCCCCCACTCTTTCCTTTACCCCACAATGCCTCTCTTGTCAAACCATGAAATTGTCCAAATTGCTATTTTTCCCCCCACAGTTCCAAGGTCTCATTCTGACAGTGAAAGCGAATATTCTGCTTCCAACTCAGAGGATGATGAAGGGGTTGCACAGGAACATGAAGAGGACACTAATGCAGTCATATTCAGCCAAAAGATTCCAGCTCAGAATAGAGTAGTTTCAGCTCCTGTTTGCAAAGAAACACCTTCTAAGAGAATGAAAAGAGATAAAACAGTAAGTGAAGAGAGAGACTTTAACCTTAAAGAAAAATTGTGTAATATCTCAAAGATAGGCTACCCTAAGAGATCCACATCTCTCAAAATAATATTTTTTCTTCACTTTTCTATATTTTCTCAGCCTTCCACATAAATTCCCACATATATCAGTTTCTACTTCTTGACTTTCTGTTCTGGCCTGTCTACATATTCATGAATTAATGCCATAGTATATGCTAAATAGTACATCTTAAAAGTGACATCTCAATTCTGTTGTATAAAAATGAACTTTTTAGGCCAGGCACGGTGACTCATGCCTGTAATCCCAGCACTTTGGGAGGCCAAGGCGTGTGGATCACCTGAGGTCAGGAGTTCGAGACCAGCCTGGCCAACATGGTGAAACCCCATCTCTACTAAAAACACAAAAATTAGCCAGGTGTGGTGGTGTGTGCCTGTAATCCCAGCTACCTGGGAGGCTGAGGCAGGAGAATTGCTGGAACCCAGGAGGCGGAGGTTGCAGTGAGCCGAGATCATGCCATTGCACTCTAGCCTGGGCAACAAGAGTGAAACTCTGTCTCAAAAATAAATAAATAAATAATTTTTAAAATATGCTATAGGATTAGAATGAAAAATAACAAAAAGAAAAAACTGAACTTTTAAGTAAATATTGATTGGACAGTTGGAGTCATGAGTTCTCAGTATATCTTGTTTTTGTACCATTGTTGATGTATTTAAGTCAGTGTAATGAATGATGTGGCTAGGGACCCATGCTGAGTCATTTGGAAGAATACTGCAGGCACCCTGGTTTTAGAAAAGGCTAATTATCCTGGTGCTGCATCTAAAGGTTCAGAGCAATTGAGGAGCCTACTGCTTAAATAGCTTTCTGTCCCTTCCTTACCACCCTAGAGTTTAGTCCTGCCCAAAATAAGAAGAACAAATAGTGTGAGAAGAAAATTCCACTTGACTGGAATAGTAGGCAAGTTTTTTGGTTTGTTTGTGGTTTTTTTCTTTTATTACCTTGCAGTCGATTTCCTCCTCATTTTCACAGTACTTCAGCTATACTAATATTAAAGAATTTGCTAAGACTATTTGAGGCCAGGCATCATGCCTGTTTCCCAGCACTTGGGGAGAGCAAGGTGGGAGGATTGCTTGAGGCCAGGAGTTTGAAACCAGCCTGGATAACGTAAGACCCTGTCTCTGCAAAAAAAAAAAAAAAATTTTTAAATTAGTCAGGTGTAGTGGTGCATGCCTGCCTTCCCATCTACTTGGAAGGCTGAGGTGGGAGGATCCCTTGTGCCCAGGAGGTTGGGGGTACAGTGAGCCGTATTTGCACCGCTACACTCCAGCCTGGGTGACAGAGTGAGACCCTTCCTCAATAAAGAAAGGAAAAAAAAAAAAAAGATTTACTTGAGGAGAAAGAAAGATCTTGATATGTAAAATCATCTCTCTTTTTTTAGTCTAAATGGAAATTACATATTGTAACTTAGGAATCATTTTTAGGAATAGACTACTACTTCATCTAGTCATTTCTTTAACTTATATGATCCTAGTAATTACTCAGTTTTATTATTGAAATTAAATATGCTTGGCCTTAACTGGTACTATTGCTTTAAAAAGACTACCAAGTAAAGAATTTCACATGTCCTATTTTACATTAATATTACTGTCTAATTTTGATATAAGACAGATATCTGAAGCTACTAAGGACTGACTACTCTGTTCACTTTCAGAGTGACTTAGTGGAAGAGTATTTTGAAGCTCACAGCAGTTCAAAAGTTTTAACCTCAGATAGAACGCTGCAGAAGCTAAGGAGAGCTAAACTGGATCAGGTATGTTGCAAGGAATGTTACTTCTAAATTTTTTTTTACTCTGTCCTGAAAAATATGCTACATAAGCAACAGATTTGAAAAGTATACACAAGTAGAATTATTGTCCTGATCAAATGAAACACAAGTTAATGTGATTATTACTTCTTTTGTTATACAAATAGTAAATAGGCTGGGCACACGTGGCTCACACCTGTAATCTCAGCACCTTGGGAGGCCAAGGGAGGAGGATTATGTGAACACAGGAGTTTGAGACCAGCCTGGGCAACATAGGGAGACCTCGTTGTTACTAAAATTTAAATAAATAAATAAATAATTTACTGGATTGGACTGTAATTATGCATTTTCCCCCTCTTATTTGTTTATTATTTCTTCAGGATCTATGATAATCATCAGGGTCATAGTCCTTGATATCCATTTGCCATTAATCTCTGTTATTCATTTAACCTATGTGTATTTACTAAACCTCACACTGGTCATAAAACAGTGACTGCAACCTGACTTTCTCTCAGTTACAAACTTTGCAAAAAGTAGAGGATATTCTACTTGAGGATATTATGGAAAACCTGCCCAGTGTGGTAACAAGATTACCATGTACTATGGTTCCACTAGCTCATTTTACAAAAAAAAAAAAAAAAAAAAAAATACCATACAGTTATATTTGCTGGGGTTTTACTTCTCTAAGAGAGGAGACAGAACCATCTGAGTGAGAAAGTCTTTGCCAGTAGTAATTTCAATTGATAATCTAAGTCCTGGCTCATTGGTATTGAGACTCGGATCAGAGAATATAAGCAACGTGGGAGAAGGACACAGGAGTCTAGGCTCACAATAGGACTTCATCATACTTAGAGGCAAAAAGATCTCTAGGGGGATGAAAGAAACACCTGTCAGTGAGGGAGAGGAAAGCCTTTCATTGATCATAAACATAGCATAGCTAATCAATACAGTCTTCAGTAGCATGTGACAATAAGCATTTATTTTTCATGTCTGCAAGTCAGTCAGAGGTTGGCTGATCTAGGATTTGCTCCATGTTTGTCTTCCTCATTGGACCAGCAGGCTAGCTGAGGCATGTTATCCTCATGACAATGGCAGAGGCATAAGAGAAAAAGTGGGAAAACAGTCTGTTAAAGCCCAGGCTCAAAACTAGATTGCCAGTTCTGCCTCATTCTAGTACAGCTGGATATTGGGGTCAAAAGTGCAGTTTTCCATGAATATTAATTAAAGTTTGAAATGAGGCCGGGCACAGAGGCTCAAGTCTATAATACCAGCACTTTGGGAGGCCAAGGCGGGAGGATCATGAGGTCAGGAGTTTGAGACCAGCCTGCCCAACATGGCGAAACCCCATCTCTACTAAAACTACAAAAATTAGCCAGGCATGGTGGCATGTACCTGTAATCCCAGCTACTCAGGAGGCTGAGGCAGGAGAATCACTTGAACCTGGGAGGTGGAGGTTGCAGTGAGCAACCTCCTGGAGTGCCACTGCACTCCAGGCTGGGTGACAGAGCAAGACTCTGTCTCAAAAAAAAAAAAGTTTGAAATGAAAGTACATACATGAGATAACATTCTAGAGTTCGGCCGGGTGCGGTGGCTCAAGCCTGTAATCCCAGCACTTTGGGAGGCCGAGACGGGTGGATCACGAGGTCAGGAGATCGAGACCATCCTGGCTAACACGGTGAAACCCCGTCTCTACTAAAAAATACAAAAAACTAGCCGGGCGTGGTGGCAGGTGCCTGTAGTCCCAGCTACTTGGGAGGCTGAGGCAGGAGAATGGCGTGAACTCGGGAGGCGGAGCTTGCAGTGAGCTGGGATCCGGCCATTGCACTCCAGCCTGGGCGGCAGAGCGAGACTCCGTCTCAAAAAAAAAAAAAAAAATTCTAGAGTTCACACTCAAGTGTGAATATGATCAGATAATCCAGTGTAAATGACTGCTGGAAAAGATACTAGTGCTTTCTCTGCTTTTTCAGGGCTCTGAACTCAGAAGAGATAAGAGAGTTTTTTTTTTTTTTTTTTTTTTAGCAACCTAGTTAACAATTTTACTTAAAGGTAGTCCTGTTTTGCTTTAACTGTGACTAAATAAACACTGTACAAGCCAGAGTACCTGAAATATTTATTGCAACTCTAATCTTCAGTATTTAAAGAATATTTTACTTGAAAGGTGGTGGAATCATGAAAACATGGTAGTGTCAGAGTGAAGACCCATGTGCAGCTTTTTGCTGGAGTTTTCATTTCAAAAAATGATCTCTAATTCATCAGCATGACTTTCCAAGTTTGGGGTACAGGGCAATGCACTTTCCTCAGTTTATTTATGTTATTGTTTTTAAAAATTTGCAATACTTATCAAAGATAAAGGATTTGTTAGAAACAGCTTTTGGAAGAGGAGCAGTGATACAGATTTATTTTACTAATGATAATGGTAAATAAATTATAAAGAACCTTTAATGTTTTCTGAGAATTAAATTAAAACCTTATTCTTGGAGTTTATAATCATTTAAATGGTTCTGGACAAAACTTACCAAATTCTTTGCTGTTATTACTAAAAAGAATGTTAACAGTTTTAAGAAAACAAATTATTTTTTAAGAATTGTGTTTATCAGTTGATACACTCATTGCCAAACCAGATTAAAGTAATATCCCAATTGGCTTCTTCTAAGCTCAACTTCTAAGGAAATTGTTTGGATTGATCTGCTATCTGTGGTTTGAGAATGACTTTTTTCCCCTCCTCCTTTTTTTAAAGCAAACATTGCGTAACTTATTGAGCAAGGTTTCCCCTTCCTTTTCTGCCGAACTTAAACAACTAAATCAACAGTATGAAAAATTATTTCATAAATGGATGCTGCAATTACAGTAAGTATTATTACAAACCCTTGTAAAATAAAGAATAATACATATTTACATGAATATGTTAAAGTAAGTTAACATTTTTCTTTTTACAATGAGTTTGATATATTTAGTCATATATAAAAATAAATGTAAAAATAGACATTATGACTCATATAGAAATGTCACTTTATTGTATGACTCTTCCCAGAAATTCTACAGTTTTTAAGAAATTTGTGTGTATCAGACTTGACAGCCATTGATAAGATAAATAGCATTTCTTAGAATTATGTTACTGGTTTAAAAAACCTGTATATTTAATTTGTCAAGATTAATAAATATACCAATTAGATTTTAATCCAGTTTTCCACAGCATAGTTCTTTAAATGAAAGGATAATATTTACTTTAATGTTATGTTTGTGTACTACAGACTTTCAGAATTTTATGAGCAGATTTGTTCTACAAGCATTAATTTACTATTTTAACATTATTTCCTAGAATATTTTTTCACTTTTATTATTTTCACACACCTCAGATTAAATTTTAAATTTCCATTAAAATGCCTAGAAGAATGAGTGAAATCAAAACATAGTATTTTCTTTTTATGATAATTACTTTTATCCTTGCAGTTAAAAAGACTTGAACATAAGGAAGTGCTTAAAATGTACACGAATGTGAATATACATGCACACTCACAGTTACATGGTCACTGAGGTAAATAAGAAGGTAGATCCATGGGCCAGGCACTGTGACCCATACCCATAATCCCAGTGCTTTGGGAGGCCAAGGCAGGAGGATTGCTTGAGCCCGGGGGTTTGAGAGACTCTGTCTCAAAAAAAAAAAAAAAAAAAAAAAGTTATGCTAGGAAGGGAATGATTAACTTTTCTGCAAGAACCTCGGCTTCTCTCAATAACTAATTATGGATCTGTGCATTATAAATTTGTAAGCTCTTCACTCTAATCCCATCTCTAGCCCATCATTATTTTTTTCTCCCAGTATGTCAACTTAAGATAACTTAATTTGCTTTGCTTCTCAGGTGAGACCTTATAGTCAGCAAGTTCATTGGAACTGCTAGCTCTCTGAATTCCTTGCCTCTTTATTTTTGTGCTTTGACCTTGTAATCTCTACCTTTGGAGGTTACCTCTTTTCTGTTCTTCCATTTCTAGGTTATCCTGCATTGCCAGAGAGCATCACATAAATACTGTTTCTGCTTGACCTTTGTAAACAGTCATGGAGTTGGACTTTAGCTTGACCTCTAGTGCTTGGTGTTCTGGGTGGGCTCATTCACTCTTCTGGCTTCAGTTGGTTTCTGTATATGAATGACTCATGTAACAGTTAACCTCCAACCCATACCTCACTCTCAGTAGCAGACCTGGATATCTGAATGTATATTAGCAGTGTCTACTTGGATGTCCTGTAAATAATTCAACATACATAAAATTAAGCTCATCTGAAGTCCATTGTTCCCACCTGCCCCTGCTATCCAGCAGAGTGAATGAGTGAATGTTAGTCACTCCATTTGTGTAGTTGCCTATGGCAGAAAACTGAATCATTCTTCTTCTTTTTTTTGTTTTTTCATTTTAAGAGACAGAGTCTCACTCTGTCACCCAGAATGGTGTGAACACAGCTCAAGGAGCCCCAACCTCCTGGGCTCAAGCAATCCTCCCATCTCAGCCTCCTGAATAGCTGGGTCCACAGACGTGCGCCACCATACCTGGGCTCATTTTTTAAATTTTTTATTGTGTAGAGATGAGGTCTCACCATCTCTCACCATCTTGCCTAGGCTGGTCTCAAACTCCTGGGCACAAGCAGTTCTCCTGCCTTGGCTTCTAAAACTGCTGGGATTACAGGCATGAGCCACCGCGCCCAGCACTGAGCCATTCTTAAGTATTCTTTTACTCAGTCTCCACATCTAATCAGTCTCCAAATCTTATTGGCTTGACTATAAAGTTCTTGACATGTTTACATTTTTCTCCATGACAGCTAAATTAATCTTCCAGTTTTGTTCCTTCCTATCCATTCCCCAAACATAGCCAATGTGATCTTTCTGAAAAGAACATGTTACTTTCTTACTTAAAACCTTTCTGTTAACCCCTCATTAGTTACTTTTAAATGCTCATTCTTGGCCGGGCACGGTGGCTCACATCTATGTAATCCCAGCACTTTGGGAGGCCAAGGTGGGCGGATCACCTGAGGTCAGGAGTTCGAGACCAGCCTGACCAACATAGTGAAATCCCGTCTCTACTAAAAATACAAAATTAGCCAGGCTTGGTGGTGCACACCTGTAATCTCAGCTACTTGGGAAGGTGAGGCAGGAGAATTGCTTGAACCCAGGAGGCGGAGGTTGCAGTGAGCCAAAATCACGCCACTGCACTCCAGCCTGGGTAATAGAGCAGGACTTCATCTCAAAATAAATAAATGCTCATTCTCCTTGGAATTAGTGAATTAATGGTTTAGTATGACTTAACAAGGCCTTTGTTACTTGACCTCTGCTTACCTTTTCAATTTAATCTATCAATTTCAACTCTGCTTCAGCCTGTAAAATTTTTAGGACTTTTTTTTTTTTTGAGACAGTCTCGCTGTGTCGCCCAGGCTGGAGTGCAGTGGTGTGATCTCGGCTCACTGCAGGCTCCGCCTCCCGAGTTCACGCCATCCTCCTGCCTCAGCCTCCCAATTAGCTGGGACTACAGGCACCCACCACCGTGCCCAGCTAAATTTTTTGTATTTTTAGTAGAGACGGGGTTTCACCGTGTTAGCCAGGGTGGTCTCGATCTCCTGACCTCGTGATCTGCCCACCTCAGCCTCCCAAAGTGCTGGAATTACAGGCGTGAGCCACCGTGCCCAGCCTTTTTAGGGCTTTTATTGGCAATGGTCTCCCTTGCCTCCAGTCATCTGTCATCTGAAAAGTAATAGAAGCTACAGTGAAGCTACTGAACAAATTGGTATACAGATAATAAAATTGTGCCTTTACATGGTATGAGTTTGGAAAAAATATTTATTTATTTATTTAAGATGGAGTCTCACTCTGTTGCCCAGGCTGCAGTGCAGTGATGCGATCTCAGCTCACTGCAACCACCACCTCCCAGATTTAAGCAGTTCTCCCTCAGCCTCCCAAGTAGCTGGAATTACAGGTGCCTGCCACCAAGCCAGGCTAATTTTTGTATTTTTAGTAGAGACGGGGTTTCACCATGTTGGCCAGGCTGGTCTCGAACTCCTGGCCTCAAGTGATCCACCTGCCTCGACCTCTCAAAGTGCTGGGATTACAGGCGTGAGCCATCATGCCCGGCCAATAATAATTTTTGAAAAGAATACTTTTTTTTTTTTAGGAAGGAAGAGGAAGAACTGGGATAGCTAAATCACTAAATATTGATTCCTGGCCTTGCACGGTGGCTCATGCCTGTAATCCCAGCATTTTGAGAGGCCAAGGCAGGCAGATCACCTGAGGTCAAGAGTTCGAGACCAACATGGTGAAACCCCGTCTCTACTAAAAATATAAAAATTAGCCGGGCCTGGTGGCAGGTGCCTGTAATCCAGCTGCTGGGGAGGCTGAGGCAGGAGAATCACTTGAACCCGGGAGGCGGAGGTTGCAGTGAGCTGTGATGGTGCCATTACACGCCAGCCTGGGCAACAGAGCGAGACTCCATCTTGAAAAAAAAATTTTAGTTAATTTTTTTTTACAGACACTGTCTTGCTCTGTTGCCCTGGCAGGAGTGCAGTGTCACCATCATAGCTCAGTGCAGCCTCAAACTCCTTGGCTTAAGTGATCCTCCCAGCTCAACCTCCTGAGTAGCTGGAACTATAGGCACCTGCCACCACACCCAGATAATTTTTTAATTGTTTTTTTTTTTAAATAAAAATATTTTTGACCAGACGTGGTGGCTTATACCTGTAGTCCCAGCAATTTTGGGGGCCAAGGCGGGTGGATTACTTGAGCCCAGGAGTTCAAGACCAGCCTGGGCAATATGACAAAAACCCATCTCTACTAAAAATATAAAAATTAGCCAGGTGTGGTGGAGCACAGCTATAGCCCCAGTTTCTTGGGAGACTGACGCAGAAGAGTCGCTTCAACCTGGGAGGCTGAGGTTGCAGTGAGCCAAGAGTGCCACCGGACTCCAGTCTGGGTGACAGAGTGATCTGTCTCAAAAAAAAAAAAGTATATATACATATATGAAAAACTTTTTTGCATTTGCCTTCCCAAAATTCTGGGATTACAGGCTTGAGCCAATGTGCCTTACCCCTTTCCTGTATTTTTTATAAGCTTAATTTAAGGAAACTGGTTGATAATAAAATTGGTAATAAGAGGTATTGAAGTTTAATTGCATGAATACTGTCTTTCCTAACAGCCTTGGGTTCAACATTGTGCTTTATGGTTTGGGTTCTAAGAGAGATTTACTAGAAAGGTTTCGAACCACTATGCTGCAAGATTCCATTCACGTTGTCATCAATGGCTTCTTTCCCGGAATCAGTGTGAAATCAGTAAGTTTCAAAATGTTAAAGGGAAAAACATTATATCCTCTGCCAATTCATGCCTCCACATAAATGAGGATGGAGTATTAAAGAATTTTTGTTTTAGTCTTCACGGTAGTAGGATTGTATAGTGCTTAATACCATGTGTTCGGACTCAGAAGAATCTAGCTTTGAAACCATCTTTGAATGTCCTACGTTGTAACTGACATGTATTAAAACTTAGGAAAATATGTTAGTTTTGTTTACTACACTGAGTATCAGTGGTACTTCTGAAGAAGGGAATTATGGGGTCTTCAGTTTTGTTATAAACTATGAAAATGCTTTATTAGGCAAAAACTACATGCTGTGAAAATGCTTTAAAATGCAACAGGATGTGAAGACTATAGTTTTACAATACATTTATCATAGATCATTTTTATTTCAAATGCTTAATATCTCTTCCTCATTTGAACATGAAATCTTTTGGGTGCTGGATATTGAGTCATGTAGTATTCCTTTTTAAAAGTGTCTATAGTGTTTGTGTCCTGTTTCCTTTGATAGAACTGTAGTTTTCTAATGTTTCTCATGTTCTTGGGAGCTTTTTCATTTGTTTTTGCTGCCCTCTTATATTACCTATTACGTTGATATCTTTGCTATTCTTTTCTATTTTCTTTTAGCCACAACTTAGGCAAAAAACAATGAATTAGATACAATTCATCGAGTACCAGTAGAATTTTTAAAAGTGATTTTTTAAAACTTTTGGGAAATCCAAATTCATTATTAATTTATAAAAAAAGGTTTGATTTTCTAGTTGTATATGACAATAAATTGTAATTAATGTGGCACCTCTTGCACATTCATGATATAGGTCCTGAATTCTATAACAGAAGAAGTCCTCGATCATATGGGTACTTTCCGCAGTATACTGGATCAGCTAGACTGGATAGTAAAGAGATTTAAAGAAGGTAACATGAAGTAGATGCTCTGTAGTTTTAGGGTAAAGTTAAGCATATACTTCTACTTATTCATGTATTTATATACATGCAGTACAGTTATACATACATATTATATGTATTATATATATACATACACATACAGTATTATTATTATTATTTTATATATATATATATTTTTTGAGACAGTCTCTCTGTTGCCCAGGCTGGAGTGTAGTGGCACCATCATGGCCCACTGCAGCCTTGACCTTCTGGGCTCAAGCAGTTCTCCCACCTCAGCCTCCCAGGTAGCTGAGATCACAGGCGTGTGCCACTGTGCCCAGCTAATTTTGTATTATTTGTAGAGATGAGGTCTCGCTATGTTGCCCAGTATAGTCTGGAACTTCTGGGCTCAAGCAGTCCTCCTGTCTTGGCCTCCCAAAGGGCTGAGATTATAGGTGTGAGCCACCACACCTGGTCCAAAAAGATTATTTTAATAATGGCACTTATCTTGGTGCTCTAAAATAATTTGACCTTTTTCTATGAACCTTTTCTGTGAACTTAACAGGGAAGAAAAATGTTAGTCCCACTTTCTTAAGTTTGTATATCCAAAAGCCTTTTTCTGTTTATAAAACACTCCAGAAGTGCAGTGGCGCAATTTTGGCTCACTGCAACCTCCGCCTCCCGCGTTTAAGCAATTCTCCTGCCTCAGCCTCCCAAGTAGCTGGGATTACAGGCGTGCACCACCAAGCCCAGCTAATTTATTTCAGAATAATTTTCAGGTTTTGTTTTGCTTGTGTAAAGTGCCTCCACTTGAGCGTTACATCTTTGTCTGATATTTTTATATTGTTTAATGTTTTTATAAAACATTATTTCTTGGCTGGACACAGTGGCTGACGCCTGTAATCCCAGCACTTTGGGAGGCCAAGCTGGGTGGGTCACCTGAGGTCAGGAGTTCAAGACCAGCCTGGCCAATATGGTGAAACCCCGTCTCTACAAAAATACAAAAAAAATTAGCCAGGCATGGTAGCACGTGCCTGTAGTCCCAGCTACTTGGGAGGCTGAGGCAGGAGAAGTGCTTGAGCCTGGGAGGCAGAGGTTGCAGTGAGCCAAGATCATACCACTGCACTCCAGCCTGGGCAATAGAGTGAGACTCTATCTAAAAATAAATAAATAAATAAAACATTATTTCTTTATTCTGTGTATATATCATTACATTGGGATAATTTTATATACTAAGATCTCTGATTCTTTTGGTGTGAATGTTTTGGTTATGTGAGTATGTCAGAAAATTGGAAATAGCATTATATAGTCTCTGATAGTTAATTGCCATTTAGTAATGACTAAATTAAGAGAAGTACGTGAGAATGCCTAACTGCTTTGATGGATAATTTTATTGATAATGTCAATAATCCTAGCTCTGTTTCCATAGTACTTTTATCTTGTCAATATTCTAGTATGTTCTTTAGTTTTGTCTTCATTTTGTTTCCAACCTGAAAAGCTTTCTGTCCCAAATTTCCTTTCACACTTCTACACCCATTTTACCCACAGTTCTTTATAGAAATGGACAGTATACTTTTTTGTTTTTGGTTTTTTTTTTAACACAGTCTTTCTCTCTCACCCAGGCTGGGATCCAGTGGCACAAACACATTTCACTACATCCTAAACCTCCTGGGCCCAAGTGATCCTCCCAACTCAGCCTCCCCATTAGCTGGGACTACAGGCACACACCATCTGCCTGGCTATTGTTAAAATTTTTTGTAGAGATGGAGTCTCACTGTGTTGCCCAGGCTGGTCTCAAACTCCTAGGCCTCAAGGGATCCGCCTGTCTGGGCCTTCCAAAGTGCTGGGATTAACAGACATGAGCCCAGCCAGACAATATACATTTTTATACCAACTGTACACATTTGAAAACAGGTAGAGTTGATTCTCATTATTCACAAATTCTATAATAACAAATTTTCCTGCTTGCTAACATTTATTTATAATCCCAAAATCAATACTCTTGGCACTTTTGCAAAGTGAAACATGCACAGAGTGGCAAAAAGTTTGCATTGCCCAATGTACACATTCTAAGCAGAGGTCAAACAAGGCAATGCTTTGCCGTCTTGTTTCAACTCTCATACTATAAACAAGCATCCTTTTCGCAGCTCGTTCAGTGCTATGTTTTTCACATTTTTCTGCTTTTGTGTCGGTGATTTGGCTGTTTAAAATGGCCCCCAAGCATAGTGTTAGAATGCTATCTAGTGTTCCCAAGCACAAGAAGGCTGTGATGTGCCTTGGGGAAAAAATGCCTGTGTATATAAACTTCCTTCAGTTATGAGTTATAGTGTTCTTGACTGTGGGTTCCATGTTAATGGATCAACAGTGTACCTTAAAAATAAAGTTGCCCTTAAAAGCCAGGCGCGGTGGCTCACACCTGTAATCCCAGCACTTTGGGAGGCCAAGGCAGGTGGATCACTTGAGGTTAGGAGTTTGAGACCAGCCTGGGCAACATGGCGAAACCCTGTCTCGACAAAAAATACAAAAAATTAGTCAGTCCTGGTGGTGCGCATCTGTAATCCCAGCTAGTTGGGAAGCTGAGGTAGGAGAATCGCTTGAACCTGGGAGTTGGAGGTTGCAGTGAGCCAAGATCACACCACTACACTCTAGCCTGGGCAACAGAGCGAGACTCTGTCTCCAAAAAAATAAATAAATAAAAATAAAATTGCCTTTAAACATGTAATCCCAGCACTTTGGGAGGCCGAAGTGGGCAGATCACTTGAGGTCACGAGTTTCAGACCAGCCTGGGCAACATGGTGAAACCTCATCTCAACAAAAAATATAAAAATCAGCTAGGTGTGGTGGTACACGCCTATAGTCCCAGCTACTCGAGAGGCTAAGGTGGGAGGATGGCTTGAGCCCCGGAATGTCGAGGTTGCAGTGAGTTGGGATCTTGCCACTGCACTCTAGCCTGGACAGCAGAGCCAGAACTTGTCTCAAAAAACACACACACAAAAAAGCTGCTTTCTGTAGGGCCTGACTTCAGTGCTAATCATGTCTTGTCTATTTTATGAGTAAATGACATATCTTCTCAAATAAATTACATACCCCTAAGCAATCATTATTTTATCCTATACTACTTTAATATATTTTTTAATACCTAGGCATTGTGTGTGGTAGAGGAAATAATCACTGAAATATCACTAAAAATAACAATTGCGGCTGGACATGGTGGCTCACGTCTGTGATCCTAGCACTTTGGGAAGCTAAATTGAGTCCAGGAGTTCAAGACCAACCTGGGCAACTTAGTGAGACCCCGTCTCTACCAAAAAAACAATTAGCCAGGCATGGTGGTGTGCGCCTGTAGTTCCAGGTACTCGGGAGGCTGAGGTGGGAGGATTGCTTGAGCCCAGGAGTTGGAGGCTGCAGTGAGCTATGATTGTACCACTGCACTCTAGCCTAGGCAACAGAGTGAGACCCTCTAAAAATAATAATAATAATTGGATTTCTTTTCTTTTTAGATTCTTCTTTAGAACTCTTCCTTCTCATCCACAATTTGGATAGTCAGATGTTGAGAGGAGAGAAGAGCCAGCAAATCATTGGTCAGTTGTCATCTTTGCATAACATTTACCTTATAGCATCCATTGACCACCTCAACGCTCCTCTCAGTAAGTTAAGTGTTACTATTTTTCCTTCTAGAGATATCAGTCTTACAAAACATAGTATTAATGTAAATCAGAAAATTTTTACTGTTTTTAGAATGCTTTTCCCCCTTTTACATGTTTAAAAACACAGGTTGCCAAAAATGTGTTCTCAATCTAATTTAGAACATATTTTTTGGAAATAAAAATTCAGATACTAAATAAGGATGTTTTAGTCTAAAGTTTAATGGAGAGAAAAGACCCAACTATTATTTTGGTCTCCTTCTGTTCTTGTAATATTGCAGCATTTATTTTATGAACTTAATGTATAGACTTTCTGATAATCCTGTAGAAGAAAATGTTAAAACATTTCTAATTTTTTAAAAAGAATGCATGGATAATGCTTTTAATTTATGCTTAATATAAAAATAAAGGTTCAGATGTTGGTTGAAAATGAAATTAGATTGTGAGTTACTGATTTAGATATGGAAGTGGCAAAAATGAAAAACTTGGGGATTCATTTTTATTTAATCCTTTCTCATTCTTTTGTAAAGTGGAATCTAGTATCATGACAATATGAAAATAATTTGTAATTCTTGTTTTCTTTGATCATGTGCTAGTGTGGGATCATGCAAAGCAGAGTCTTTTTAACTGGCTCTGGTATGAAACTACCACATATAGTCCTTATACTGAAGAAACCTCCTATGAGAATTCTCTTCTGGTGAAGCAGTCTGGATCCCTGCCACTTAGCTCCCTTACTCATGTCTTACGAAGCCTTACCCCTAATGCAAGGTAAGGATGAAAACCATATTTCTTTTTTAAAAACTATACATTTTAAGATATGTACTACTAGGTTTTAATGGTGATACTGAAGTCCCTAGTTAGTTTGAAGGATTAAGAGAAATTATAGTAATAATAGTTACCAGTACTGGATTATGGGGTAGGCAGATAAGTCAACAGCAGTCTGTCATATTGCTCAGTAATAAAGTGAGAGTACCAACTTTTTATTTCTTAATATATTTCGGAATATGAGCACCTGAGTGGTCATAATGGAGAAAAAGCAGACTTTTCATGACTTTTACTTAAATTTTATGGTTATTTTTCATTACATATTGAATATTCTGATCCAGACACTGAGTACTTTATATGCAATACCTCATTTGATCCTAAGGTGGATAGTCAGTAGCACAAAGACTTTGATCCAGATATGTCAGCTCCAAAACATCACTGTATGATGTCTCCAGTCAAGCCCTTACAGCAGCCTAACCAAGAGGCATATCTGAATTAATAAACACAAGCTGATTATAGCATAAGCCAGCAAAAAGTAAATTGCATAATTAGCTGGACTTAGTGGCCCATGCTAGTAATACCAGCACTTTGGGAGGCCAAGGCAGGCAAGTCACTTGAGGTTAGGAGTTCGAGACCAGCCTGGCTGACATGGTGAAACCCCATCTCTACCAAAAATATAAAAATTAGCCAGGTGTGGTGGCACGCACCTGTAGTCCCAGCTACTCAAGAGACTGAGGCCGGAGAATTGCTTGAACCCAGGAGACAGAGGTGGCAGTGAGCTGAGATTGCACCACTGCACTCCAGCCTGGGCAACAGAGTGAGACTCTGTCTCAAAAAAATAATAAAGAAAGAAATTGCATAATTAGCCTGTTGAAAGAAGCTTTTAGTAACAAACTTTACCCCCTGACAAAAGCATAAAATTATAGAATTATATTTAACAAGATGAAGTGTTGAAAAATAACAACACTGAGAATAGATAATTCTTGCTGAGAATAGATAATTAAGAGCTGGATAGACAAAAAGAAATATTGTGTTCTTGGGTGGGTAGATTAACTATTATAAGAGTAGAAATTCTTTCCATGTTAGAAATGTGTTAGACTTGCCAGGCACAGTGGCTCAAGCCTGTAATCCCAACACTATGGGAGGCTAAGGCAGGAGGATTGCTCCAGCTGGGAGCCTGAGACCAGCCTGGGCAACATAGGGACACTCCATCTCCACAAAAAGTTTTAAAAATTAATTGAGTGTGGTGGTGTACACCCATAGTCTCAGCTGGGGAGGCTAAAGGGAGCCAACATCACGCCATTGCACTCTAGCCTGGGTGACAGAGCAAGACCCTGTCTCCAAAAAATAGGTATTAGATCTATAAATTAATCAAAATGTAAATGAATTTTTTTATTTTAAATTTGAAAGAAAATTTAGTTTCCTAAAGAATAAACAGTCGGCTGGGTGTGGTAGCTCACACCTGTAATCCCAGCACTTTGGGAGGCCGAAGCGGGTGGATCACTTGAAGTCAAGAACTCGAGACCAGCCTGGTCAACATGGTGAAACCCTGCCTCTACTAAAAACACAAAAATTAGCCAGACTTAGTGGCGCACACCTGTAATCCCAGCTACTTGGGAGACTGAAGCAGGAGAATCGCTTAAACCCAGGAGGCAGAGGTTGCGGTGAGCCAAGATGGCACCACTGCACTCCAGCCTGGGTGACAGAGTGAGCCTCTGTCTCAAAAAAAAAAAAAAAAGAAGAAACAAGCAAGTCTAGCAGAGACAATTTCTTTTTTTGTTTTTAAAGAGCAACAAAGGGACACTTGTGGTCAAGATGGCATAATACTTTTCACTCTTTCCTTTCATCCCCTCTTGTTCCAAACACACAGCATAATAGACAAAATTTAAAAATAAATACCCTGGCTCAAAATAGAAACATCTCAATGCAACAGAATGATAAATCAGTGAGCAGAGTTGAAGCCACAGCACAGCTGCATTCTAGGTTTAGAAGCAGCATTGGCAGCCAGGATTTTGACTTATATGGGATGATAGTAGTGTGATGATATATATTGCCCAAACCAGATATTTTCATTTAGGACAAATGCTGAACTGAACAGATGTTCGGTGTAGAAATAAAACCATATAAAACATATAGTGTTCAAATGTATATATCAATATGAATAAAAGTTTTAAATGTGCATGGAAATGAAAAATACCTAATTCAGAATAATTAGGTATTTTTAGGTACTAAAAATAATAAAAAAATAATTAGGTACTAACCCTGGAGAAGAATAAAGGGGAATAGATAGAGGATGGTGTACACAGGGACTTTGGGGATATCTTTTTCTTTAACCCCCCCAGCAATTTATTTTTCTTTTACTTGTGTGTTTGTGGTGGGGAGATTAACTTTTTGTTGTGAGATGATTATAGATTCAGAAGAAGCTACAAAAATACATGCCGGGAAGTCTCATGTACCCTCCTCCCAAAGCACCAACTTCCACCAACCACCACCATCTCATATAACCACAGTACAGTATCAGAACCAAGAAATTGACATTATTGTAATCCCATCCATCAAGCTTATTTGGATTTCGCTATTATACATGCTGCACTTGTGTGTGTGTGTGTGTGTGTGTGTGTGTAAATTTCTGTGCAGTTTTGTTACCTGTAGCCTTGTATAACTACCTCCATGTATACAGCTGTACCATCACCACAAGACTCAAATGTTGACCCTCAAATGCTAATTTTAATGAATGTTGTTACTCTATAAAGCTGATTTGAACACTGAAGATAAGATTAGCATTGAACTCGGCCGGGCATAGTGGCTCACCCCATAATTTTACTACTTTGGGAGCCTGAGGAGGGAAGATTGCATGAGGCCAGGAGTTTGAGATGAACCTGGGCAACATAGTGAGACCCCATCTCTACAAAAAATAAAAATAAAGCCTTGCATTAATATTGAAATATGCAGGCTGGGTGCGGTGGCTCATGCGTGTAATCTCAGCACTTTGAGACGCTGAAGCAGGCAGATCATTTGAGGTCAGGAGTTCGAGATCAGCCTGGCCAACATGGTGACACCTGGTCTCTACTAAAAATACAAAAATTAGCCCGGCATGGTGGTGCATGCCTGTAATCCAACTACTTGGGAGGCTGAGGAGGGAGAATCGCTTGAACCCAGGAGGTAAAGGTTGCACTGAGCTAAGATCACACCACTGCACTCCAGCCTGTGCAACAGAGTGAGACTCTGTCTTAAAAAAAAAAAAAAAAAGGCCGGGCGCGGTGGCCCACACCTGTAATCCCAGCACTCTGGGAGGCCGACGCGGGTGGATCATGAGGTCAGGAGATCAAGACCATCTTGGCTAATACGGTGAAACCCCGTCTCTACCAAAAAATTAGCCAGGCGTGGTGGTGGGCGCCTGTGGTCCCAGCTACTTGGGAGGCTGACGCAGGAGAATGGCGTGAACCCGGGAGGCGGAGCTTGCAGTGAGCCGAAATCGCACCACTGCACTCCAGCCTGGGTGACAGAGTGAGACTCCGTCTCAAAAAAATAAAATAAAAATTGAAATAGGCATTAAATGGTTATCTAATGAAATTTTTTGATGGAATTGGGGACAAAGTCTTCATTCAGTTTTGTTATTACTAGTAATAAAAGTCCTTAATTGCTGAAGGACTGTTGGAAGTTATTGTGTGTAAAGTTGAGGGTCCATGCATTGTGAGAACTCACAACATTAAATATGGCAATGGCTACTCTAATGCAAACTTTTTTTTGAGATGGAGTCTCATGGTGTCGCCAAAGCTGGAGTGCAGTGGCGAGATCTCAGCTCATTGCAACCTCCCTCTCCAGGTTTTAAGGCATTTTCATGCCTCAGCGTCCTACAAGTAGCTGGGACTAGAGGTATGCACCACCACACCTGGCTAATTTTTGTATTTTTAGTAGAGATGGAGTTTCACCATGTTGGGCAGGCTGGTCTTGAACTCTTGACCTCAAGTGATCCACCCACCTTGACCCCCAAAGTGCTGGGATTACAGGCATGAGCCACCATGCCCAGTCTAATGCAAGTATTTTTTAGTTTGGCATGCCTCAGTGTCTGTGTGCTGACCTCAGCATTTTCTTATTTGAACTATTTTGAAATTTTGCTTGATTCTGCAAACTCCAGTATCATTTAGACTTTACTTGGTATGTGATTGAATAAAAATTTTAACCAAAATTCAGCTCTGGAGTTAGTAGTAGTACCTAGTTAAAAAGTAGTCATTGAGGGCGGGATGCGGTGGCTCACTCCTATAATCCTAGCACTTTGGGAGGCTGAAGTAGGCGGATCACTGGACGCCAGGAGTTTAAGACCAGCCTGGCCAACATGGTAAAACCTCATCTCTACTAAAAGTATAAAAATTTAGCTGGGTGTGGTGGTGTCCACCTGTAATCCCAACTACTCAGGAGTCTGAGGCATGAAAATCGCTTGAACCTGGGAGGCCAAGATGGCAGTGAGCCAAGATTGCACCACTGCACTCCAACCTGGGCAACAGAGTGAGATCCTGTCTTAAAAAAAAAAAGTGTTCATTGAGACGATCCAAAATATGACTATAGTCATTGTTTTCTGGACCTGCATAAAAATGAAAATGCATATAAGTTTTGAATTTTTGGCATACTCAAGGACTGATGGGAGTCTTAGTTTGTGTAACACTGCTTCCAATCCCATAATTCTACCTGGTTCACTCTCCTATGGAAATAATTCAGAATATGAAGAAATAGGTACAGTTTTATTTAGTGCAGAATTATTTCTTCTGTATCCAGTCATCCATCCATTAAGAGTTATTTTTAATCTAAAATTAGAAATAATGTAAACATCCAAACCAATAGGGAAATGGTAAGTTTATGGTACATGGTAGATAAGCAGCTGTTAAAACTTCCTTAAGTTCTTCTTACATATGGCAAAAAAAAAAGAAAAACTTGTTTAGGAGAAGTTTTAAAGACGTGGGAAAAATCAAAAAGTGAAGAAGCAAGGTATAAAGTGGTATATGCAGTATATAAATGTATGAATTTATGGTGTTTCCACCCGCTTCATTCCACAAAGATTTGAGACAACAGCATACCCCATATGATCTCAATACCAAGTGTTAATGGATATTGGATTGATATTTTTCTCTTTAGATGTTATTCTGTATTCCAACTTTTCTACCAAGGCTAACCTAAAAAGTAAGAAAAAAATATTTTCATATTTGTTTTGAGACAGGGTGTCTGTCGCTTAAGTACAGCCTCAAGCTCCCAGGCTCAAGTGATCTTTGCACCTCAGCCTCCCGAGTAGCTGAGACCATGGGCGCATACCACTATGCCTGGCTGATTTTTAAATTTTTTATAGAGACAGAGTCTCACTGTGTTGCCCAGGGTGGTCTCAAACTCCTGGGCTCAAGCAGTTCTCCCACCTCAGTCTCCCAAAGTTTTGAGATTATAAGTGTGAGGCACCACACTCAGCCTATATTTTTCTTTAGAAGAAATAAAAAAGCTTTCTGTTTAAGTAGGCAAGGATATGATATTCCTTGGAGGAACGGAAGATAATGCAGATAGGCCAAGTATTTGACATTTTCTTTGTGTATTTTGCTATTAGTTGTTACTTTTTGATGTTAACATTTTGGATTTAAATTCTTGTTTTTTGTTTTTAGGGGAATTTTCAGGCTACTAATAAAGTACCAGCTGGACAACCAGGATAACCCTTCTTACACTGGTATCCAATATTTATGACATTCAATTGTGTAATTTTTGTTTTACCCCATACATTTCCTTTCTCTGGAATTTAATGACAGAAGTGCAGTTTTTCAGAGCAGTGAGTAAGTGGTCACTCATGATGGGTATGTCTGCCACATAGCAAATTTTCAAGCAGCTCTACAGATCCACTGCTGAGCAAGGTGTTTGCCAACACAAATTGAAAGACAAACCCAGCTTACTTTAAAAATGTTCTGTGCTAACTATGGATGTGTATCTGCCAATTACATATTTTTCATATTCTAGGCATCTTAGGAGATTGTCTTCCCCTTTGGCAGAAATGATTTCAACAAACATTTTAATAATTGTTCTGCTCTCATGACTGACTTGTTCCTTCTTTAAAAGTCCTATCAATACTTGTTCACTGCTCTGGGATAACATGCAAATAGCACTTTTATTCTGTGTTCTTTTGTATGGGTGTTTGTATATTGGGTCATGTCTTAAGTGCTGACTTATGTTCATATCCTTTTGAACTTGCCAGGCCTTTCTTTTCAAGATTTTTACCAGCAGTGTCGGGAGGCATTCCTCGTCAATAGTGAGCTGACACTCCGGGCCCAGTTAACTGAATTTAGGGACCACAAGCTTATAAGAACAAAGAAGGTAAGACTCCACTGTTGTAGCATTGTATGCCAGGAATAGTCTATATCATTTACTTAAGGACAAGTATACCTTTGACTCAGACCTGATTTTGAAACTGACGTCCCATGTTGGGTCGCAGATTCATTTAGGGGATATGCCATTTGAGTTTGTAGAAAGAGCCGTGGTAGAAGTACCCTGCTTCAGAGCAGAGCAGAGCAGAGCAGAAAACTCCTCATATGTTCTAGTCCAGAGTAATAGGCAATTAGAAACATGGTGTGAGTCAAATAATTCTGTTCTTTGGTTTTTTCCCTATTGCTCATTCATTAATTTGGTCTATATTTATTGAGTATTAACTGCATAGATATTGCACTAAGTATTAGGATACAGTAGTAAGCAAAAACCTGATTGCTTTTCTTATGGAGCTTAAAGTCTAATGGGGGAGATGGACATTAGTCAAGTAATCACATACATAAAATTTTAACTGTAAGGAAGTCCTATGATTAGAAAGTACAGTTCTGAAAGAGTTTATTTAAATAGGTGGATTTGACCTATTTATGGATAGATATCAGAAGAGACCACTGAGCTGAGATCTAAAGGAAGACTAGGAGGCCAGACGTGGTGGCTCACGCCTGTGATCCCAGCACTTTGGGAGGCCAAGGTGGGTAGATCATTTGAGTCCAGGAGTTCGAGACCAGCCTGGCAACACAGTGAGACCCTGTCTACGGGGGAAAAAAAAAAAAAAAAAAAAAGAGCTGGTTGTGATGGCACACACCTGTAATCCCAGCTGCCCAAGAGGCTGAGGTGGGAGGATCACTTGAGCCTGGGAGGTGAAGGCTGCAGTAAGCCATGATCACACCACCGCACTCCAGCTTGGGCAAGAGTGAAACCCTATTTCAAAAGGAACAACACACACACACAGAGAAAGAGCGGCATTTTAGGGAGACAGATGATGAGTTCATGATCTTAATCAGTTTAGACAACTCTGTTTGAGGTTCCCTTGAGATTTCCAGATGGAAATGTCAACTATGCAGTTGGATACCTAGGACAAGAAACCAGAGGAAAGATCTGGGTTGGAGAGAGAAGATTATGATTCTTATGTATTTAGATTATAACTGAAACCAGGCATTGGGGGTACTACCTAAAGGGAGGACATTTAGTGAGAATAGAGAGCTAGGAGGTAAGACCAGAAGTCTGACATTTAACAAGCCAAGTAAAGGATAAGGTGAGAGAAACAGCCAGAGAACTAGGAAGAAAACCAGGATGTGATGTCACAGAAGCCAAGAGAAGCATGTTTTAATGCAGAGAAAATAGTCAGCAGTGTCAGATGCTGCTGAGAGGCCAAAAAGATGAAGACTGAGAATGTCTGTGAGATTCAGGAATATAAAATTCCTGATGGTCTAAGCAAACGATGTGATAATGGAAGCAGTAGCTCAGTTGAACTGTGTTGAATGAGGTGTGGAAATGGAGACTGCCATCATAGCCAACTTGCCTGGAGAAGTGCAGAGATAATGTGATAGATGGAGAGGAATGAAGATGTCTAGTGAGGGTTACTGAAAAATTGGACATACTTAAATGTATTAAATATTGAAAAGCCAAAGGGAAAGATCTTGTTGAAAGGAGGAAGAAAGGATAGAGACATCAATAGTGTTAGATTCCGGACAGGGCAGGAAAGTGAAAAATGATCTAAAGCACAATGAAAAAAATAAATACCCACCTACCCACCCTCTAATTAGTTGTCTTTTCCACTATAAGGCTGTTTAACTGTAACTCCATATATTTAAGTATATATGACTGTGTGCCCTTTTGCCTTAATTTTTATACTTATATATTTAAAATATTACATCAAAGAAATAAATTCATTTTTTCTTTAGCCTCTACAATAGAAGAGTTCATATACCTCTTATGAATGACTAACGTACAGGTATTCTTAAATCTTTCAGGGAACTGATGGAGTAGAGTATTTATTAATTCCTGTTGATAATGGAACATTGACTGATTTCTTGGAAAAGGAAGAAGAGGAGGCTTGAAGCTTTCCTTTATTCTTGAACCTCCCATGGAAGGGTTGTACCCCAGCTGCCACTCCTAGTTGAAAGTGTTGTGTTTACATCTGACATTAAATTATTTTTCCAGCGTACAAGATTTAAATTTGGGAAGGGGTGGGGGATGTCCTCAATTAGAACTTTTGATCGGCCTGGCTGGTACCGTCTAGTACTATGCAGCGGTCCTCAAGTTGGAGAAAATGTGCCTTTCATTCATTACCTCTCTGGAGACTTCTTGCTGGAATGAACAGTGTGCTCAGGGACTATTTGGAACTGGATGTTTTTGAAATATTTTATACTTAGAGATATTCTGAATTTTTTGAGGGCCTTTTCACACTCCCCGAGCTGATTGTTTGCAAGTGTGTTTGTTCCAGAGTGTGGAAGTATCAAGACATGGGCATCACGTAAATTGGCTTTGTTTGCTATTCTGTGTGTCAGAACCAACGAGTGTAGTGGAGAAGGCAGGTCATCTCTTACTGTTTCTAAAACAACTTAAAAGGTATAGATTGGGAAGAGGTGGGTGATCCAGCTTTCTCCTTTTGGATTGAGGCTATGTACTTGGTGGGGGCAGGGGAGGGAATATATTATACTACTATTCAGCTGGGATAGTGGGAAAAACAAAGAGTATATAGGGTATCTACCCAGCCTAGAAAGCACAGAACAATACGTCATATATTTGGAACAGTTAATGTCTGTGCCATGACCTTCATGATACCAGTGAGAAGCCAGGCTAGAGAAATAAAATCCTGAATTACATTTTAGTAATTGTTTTCAAGACACAAAAAATAAAACATTTCATTATTCTTGTATATTGACATATTTTTCTTTTCCTGAATAACATGCAGGTGAGTAGCATATTAATGGCTGGCTGTAAATTTAATCTTGATTCCTCTGTCAAGTAGACCTAAAACTCACTGTAAGATATTTCAGTTTTTTCCTTAAAATGATGATTTCAAGCCTCCTAAATATTTGCACGAGACTTTTTTCTTAGGAAAGAAGAAAAGGCTCACCTTGGCTACTGTTGTCAGCTTACAGTCGTCACATACCCCCTGAAATATCCGACACTTGGAAATGAAGTTCTTCCTGAAAATATCACTGCAATAAAATATGTACTACATCAGCATTTCTCACTCATTTCTTATCTTGTAAACCTCTTTCATGAAAATATTTCCAAAAATCCTTGGAATTTTAAAATAATTTTTCTTGTGGTTTATACTTAAGTAATTTTGGCTAGGCATAATGGCTTATGCCTGTAATCCCAAGACTTTAGGAGGCCAAGGCAGGAGGATCTCTGGAGCCCAGGAGTTTAAGAACAGCCTGGACAACATAGTGAGACCTTGTCTCTACAAAAAATTTAAAATATCATCCGGGCATGGTGGCCCATGCCTATTGTCCTAGCTGCTGTGGAGGCTGAGGCAGGAGGATCGCTTGAACCCAGGGGTTCAAGATCACAGTGAGCTATGATTGTGCCATTGCACTCCAGTACGGGTGCAGAGCAAGACCTTGTCTTTTTTTACTTTTATTTTTTTAAAGGCATTTTTTTAAAAAGTAATTTTATGTTAAGTCCATGGGCTTAGTCTTTTCTTTTTTTTTTTTTTTTTTAAGATGGAATTGCACTGTCGCCCAGTCTAGAGTGCAGTGGTGTGATCTAAGCTCACTGCAGCCTCTGCCTCCCAGGTTCAAGCGATTCTTGTGCCTCAGCCTCCTGAGCTAGGACTATAGGCACATGCCACCATGCCTGGCTAATTTTTGTATTTTTAGCAGAGATGGGGTTTCACCATATTGGCCAAGCTGGTCTCGAATTCCTGATCTCAAGTGATCCCACCTCGGCCTCCCAAAGTGCTGGGATCAGGGGTGAGCCACTGCGCCTGGCCAAGGGCTTAGTCTTAAATATAACCTCTAGTCAAAATGTTTAAACAAATGTGTACATGAATGTGATTTTAAAAATTGTTTTAATAGTACCACAGGATATCCAGTGAAAGTGAGTTTCCTGCCCACTCCCTGATCCACCCAGTTCTTTAGGCAACCACTAATAGCATTTTTTTAAGTATTCTTCCAGATATAGCCTATGCATATGTAAAAGTATCTGTCTCTCTCCTTTTAAAAACACAATTGGTAATATACTTGCTGGTTTGCACCTTGCTTTTTTTGCTTAAGATATCTAGTTTATAATGACCTAATGTGCAAATTTTTGCATCTGCCCTAAATACCTACTGGTTTATTTTTATAATTTTTGTGTCTATACTATTTGCAAGCAGTATCTGTCAGTAGACTTTATTATTAATAAATAAAAAGCCAATTTGGATAGAATCACTTTGTAAATTTGTAGTGCTACTTTTTTACTAAGAATATTTTTAAGTTCTTCAAAAGAAGTTTTATGAGTGCATCTTACAGATCTGGTGAAGATCTTGGCATATTATTGTATGCTGGTTGTTGACTTGTGTCCGCATCGGTGTCCCTCAGGCTCTAGCAGTTATGTCTTGACTGCTAAGGCTCTAATTTCTTCTACTGTGTTAACTTGCTTCTGGCAAGATTGAACAGACCTACTGAAACCTTGAAAGGTTTTCTGGGTACTCTTAATAAAATTACCAAAAAAAACAGGCACAGGAGATGTCAAACATTTATTGTTTATAAATTTGCCACAGTGCTGAATTTATTGTGAAAGGACTGCTAAATTAGTCCTCACAGTAGTCCAGAAACTGGACTTTCTTAGCATCATTTGTTATTTTAATACATGATCACTTCACTCATATAAAAGATCAGTGTAAACAGGTGCAGTAGCTCACAGCACTTTGGGAGGCCAAGGCAGGCCAATCTCGAGACCAGGAGTTCAAGACCAGCCTGGTTAACATGGCGAAACCCTGTCTCTACTAAAAATACAAAAAATTAGCCGGGCATGGTGGCACCCACCATGTAGTCCCAGCTACTCAGAAGGCTTAGGTGGCTCGATCATCTGAGCCCAGGAAAGCTGAGGCTGCAGTGAGCTGTGATCATGCCACTGCACTCCAGCCTGGTGGGAAACAGAGTGAGACCCTGTCTCAAAATAAAAGATCAGTTGGTTTGGGTGCTGATTAATAGATTTTGCCTAACTTTTAAACAAAATGACTAACTTTAGAAGTTCACTCTTTTTGTTCCAGCTAATTCAAATGTGGAGGCAGTAGCATTGTTCAGAATGTACTTTTTACATTCTGTGAGGTGAAATTACTCTTCCAGCATAATCCTGAATAGCCTAAATTTGAACACTTACTACACAAAAGGCAGTAGTTGTGAGGATATGAAGATGAAATATGAAATGTCTGTTAAGTGTTTGTTTTTGAGACAGGGTCTCTTGTCATCCAGGCTAGAGTGCAGTGGTGCCGTCTCAGCTCACTGCAGCCTTGACCTCCTGGGCTCAAGTGATCCACCCACCTTATCCTCCCGAGCAGCTGGTACTACAGGAGGCACACACCACACCCAGCTTTTTTTTTTCTTTTCTTTTTCTGTAGAGATGGGGTTTCACCATGTTACTTAGGCTGGTCTTGAACTTCTGGGCTCAAGTGATCCACCCACTCGGGTCTCCCAAAGTGCTGGGATTAACAGGTGTGAGCCACCTCACCCAGCCTATGAGGTTTTAATAGCATAAGTTATAGCATCCTTAATGTGTTGAATAAAGCAAATTTCAAAAGACTGATGCTATGGATAACTTTAAACATAGTACAATACAAAGCTCATTCCTAAACTTTTGTAACCATTTTTATATTTATCACTGGCCCCAGGCCTCTCAAGTATTTAGGGTCAACATCTTTACTTTTGCTACCCAAAGTGTAGGCCTTAAAATGGCAGCATTTGCCTGGCACGGTGGCTCATGCCTGTAATCCCAGCACTTTGGGAGGCTGAGGCAGGTGGATCACTTGAGGTCAGGAGTTCTAGACTACCCTGGCCAACATGGTAAAACCCTGTCTCTACTAAAAATACAAAATTAGCTGGGCATTGTGGCGAGCGCCTGTACTCCCAGCTACTTGGGAGGTTGAGGCTGGAGAATTGCTTCAACCTGGGAGGCAGACGTTGTAGTGAGCAGAGATCGCGCCACTGCACTCCAGCCTGGGTGACAGAGTGAGACTCTTGTCTCAAAAAAATAAAAATAAGGCCAGGTGCGGTGGCTCACGCCTGTAATCTCAGCACTTTGGGAGGCCGAGGTGGGCGGATCACCTGAGGTCAGGAGTTCGAAATCAGCCTGACCAACATGGAGAAACCCTATCTCTACTAAAAATGCAAAATTAGCTGGGCCTGGTGGCACATGCCTAATATCCCAGCTACTCAGGAGGCTCAGGCACGAAAATCACTTGAACCTGGGAGGCGGAGGTTGTGGTGAGCCGAGATCACGCCATTGCACTCCAGCCTGGGCAACAAGAGTGAAACTCTTGTCTCAAAAAAA